ATTTGGAAACAGTTGCATCCTTCTATTTATAATTTTTCTCTGAATCTCTCAAGCTGTACTATAAAATCCTTAACCTTGATTACAGTAATTGCTACTGTAGCACTAGTGAGAGCACAGGGCTATCTTGAGCACAGATTATCTTGGCAATGTGCAGACCATCTTGGATGTACTTGGTTTTGACTTTGATGTTGATTCACTTTGCAATTGTGTGAGGGTTATTGTATGCATAGCCTGTTTATTCAAGTATGGATTTTTTTTTAATAGCTCAGAGACGCAAATATTTTTCTCAATCGTTCAGCTATAAAGAGCTTTATGTTCATGTGAGTTTGTTCTGATGTCTGTCTTTTAAGCATAATAATTTTTTTGGTAGTGTGGCCAGAAATGAAATCTATGCCAAAAAAAGTCCTATATATGAGATAATTAAACTGAGAAACTGAAGTGACATTTGCCAGTAATTTGTCACTGAAGAATTGGGCTTACTGGAATTGAGAAGTCGCTTACTTATTTTTGTTCATCATAGAGATTAAGAATTGGGATTTGCTGGATAGTTATTAGTTGGACCTCTTATTTATATTTCAAGTCACTGATTTCAGGTTCTTTACATTAAGCGTAGATTTTGGGCTAGAACAAAACAGTATCTTACCAAGTATCTCTTTAGTAGAGAGGCGTAGCAGAGAATATAAAGAGGAATGCCTTCAGTCAAAGCAGACAGTTCATGCCTTGGAAGAACAAACACATAACAAAGAAAAAAGGAGCCCTATAGGGAAAATTATTTCTTGAGTTTGAAAAACACAGCTCCTTTGCTTTCCACACGAGATGCAGAAACAGAACGTTTGTAAAGGGGATTTTCTGTATCATCTTGGAGCACTTCTTTATTCCACTGTGGCCTATCTTGGGTATGGCCAGTGCCTGATGCTGCAAGTATTAGAAATGTGATCTTGAATTCTGTTCTCTCTAGTGTCCTTGGTGATGTCAGTGAGCGTAAGATAGCAAGGCTAACAGGCTGCCATGTTTATTCAGATGATTCTTCCCTTGGCTTCCACAGACTAAGGAATTTCTTTTTAATTGTGATTCTGAAAACTACACTTTTATCCATTTAAATTTAAGCAGATTGCTGTGAGTTCTTTGACTGGAATATTCTTATTTCAAAATTAAATCTATTATTTCAGCCCCCAAAATTTTTGTCAGCAAGTTCTAAAAGTCTTCAATTTTAATTTCTTTTTTTTTTTTTTAATTCTTACTTACATTCTCCTTATCTTTTGTTTGCCAAATAAGTTGTTTCCTGAACTCACATAGCTGTTTTGTCATTTATATGATCCTCTTACAAATACTTTGTTATGTTGATGTTCTTGAAGCACAGACAACAGAACTGGATGTGGTATTTTGCTAGCTGAGAGCTTGTTTAAAGTCGAAATGTGCAACTTCGGCGGTTCTATTTTAAAAAACTATTACATGCATACTTGTGTAATTTGGTATTAAACTTACGTTATTAAATCAACTGTGGAAGCGTCCTCATTTAGATACAATGTGTTTGGTACAGGGTTTCTACTAGATAATGCTCTAGATGATGTGTTCTAGTTCTAATGGAAGTTCTTGCATACATCCCATGTTGCTAGTGGCTGACTGGATCACTTGTTTACTTTAGTAATCACTTTGCACCCAGTTTTTTAAGGTCTCATTAATTTACAGGTCACTTAAAAAAAGCCTCAGATGAAATCAGATTGACCTCTTACTAGGCTTCCTACCATTTGTGCAGTTGAATTTCTTATAGCTGTACCTGTAATGCAGAGCATGATTATGCAGTGTGGTGAATTGCATTGCAGACACAGTCTGTACTGACCCCTGTTGGTAAATCCACATGCTTCTGGCTACTTGGAGATGTTAGCTTCGTCTTGAAAGCAGCACAGCTGTGTTGGTGTTGCACCTATGGTAAGTCTTGCCTCTCTGAGATTTGCAGGTGTGAGCGCAGTGCCATGTTAACTTGCTGCATGATTTCTGGTTCTAGCGCTAGTATGGTATTTTGCTTCCGTAACAGTCCTTATATACTCTTCTCTTTCCCAGGAGACTCTATACAAAAAAAACCCTCAGAAACCACTAGCTGTTTCTGTTTAGCCATGCTTATTCCTTCCATTTCATAATCATTACAAACTTAAGGTTACTGTCACCCTAATTATCTTCTACCTGAATGTTTGGTGTGTTTTGTGTTTTTTTTTCCCCACTGGATCTTCCTTCATTATCCTCAGAACCAAACCTAAAATGAGCTGTTTCCCTAGGGATGTCACCTGGTTTTGGGGAGAGGGAAGTTGTCATCTACACCCTTCAAGAATTCGATAGGGAATTCCATTCTGCTGCTTCATAGGCATCCAGCTAAAACCTTTGGTTTTCCATTGAAGTTTGTTCTGAACAACTGCATCTGTTTCCTGCTTTGGTGGCTAGAGCACCTAAGGACAATTTATCATGACATCATCCTCTGCCTTCAATGTGGTACAGTTGTATGTATATATACCTCTGTATGTGCCCATAAAGTATATATGTAAATATATAGAGAGAGCAAGACTTTTGTTCTCTCTCCTCTCCTCCGAACCTACTTCTTCCACAGTTGAGTGTTTCATCTGAAACACTTCAGATTAATCTTGAAATTTCTTTCAGTCAGGCTGAAATGGTTTGGTGTCTTAATGTAAAGTAGTTTGAACTTTGGCTAATGAAACTTTGTATTTGACTTCAGTGTGAAAATGTGGCTGTCCTCCAGAACTTGTTACTTCCAGTAATTGCTTTTTGTTCCTCAGTTTCCAAGAACTGAGTTGTGTATGTAATTGTTAGACAACCAAAGGATTGGGAAAATGGAACTTTTGGGACAATCGTAATAAAAAATGCTCATCAGTAACTATTTGACATACTTGAAATGTCTTTTCAAATATGAAGCAATTTTTGTGTTTCAATGCACTTCCTTGCAGACTTACAGAACCTGTTTATGATTAGTAATTAAGTAAAATGTGGCAACGGTTGTGTGGGGGGTTAAATCCAATTTACATAGAGCCTAGAAACTGATATGAGTTCTACTGACTAACTTGTGAACTAAGTTAAGTTGCTTTGGACTGTGTAGGTTAAAACAGCATGCTAAACTTTTTCTGTGTTGGTCAGTCAAGACTGTAGTCGTGCATTGGTCATTGAAATAAACCATTTAAGAAGTGGTCTTTCAGCCTCTGCTTCCTTCAGCTTCTAGATCAAAGGGGAGTGTGTGTCTTCTAGTCAATGCCTTGCAGCTGATAAGGCAAGGATTTGAGGACTCATAAGGTTTACAAGCAGTGGCTCATCATTGTTTTAATACCACTCCATCATTTTTGAACTGGAATTAGCTTGGATCCATTCAGCTGAAAGTACAAATGGAGCAAGTATTTGTTTGCTTTTATTTCTGCGTGGACATAGTCCAGTCAAACTAGAAGCGTAATGGTGATCACCAGTGAAAGGAGCAAATGATTGCTATCTCTACACTTAGCAAAATGAAGCAGCAGCTGTCCATAGCAACTTAGCACTCTTGTCTGCATTTTTATTTTTCAAAATCGTTGATAGAGCTCTGTGCTCTCAGGAGCACTGCTATTGCTTCCTTTGATTTAGTGTAGCTTCACCACAGTGTGTTAACCTAGGATTTGTGTGATCCCAGTAGAGATCAGGATGATGGAAACCTTACTTTTTGCTGTGAAGTAATGTAGTTACTTATCCCTCTCTCATCATAGTCTGTTACAGCAAGAACTAGATGCATCTTGGATAAATTCTGTACCTGTTTATGATTCAGGCTAAAACACTGGCTGAAGGTTTGTGATTGGAAATTTGGAGACTGAGCAGCAATCAATTAAAAAGAATACAGGTCTGGTACTTTGGCAATGCTATCAGGAACTGCTCAGGTAAAATGTAAAAACTGATGAAAACATAAAAGATGGCTCTTTAGGGAAGGTATGTAGTAGTCAAAAGTACTTAACAAGTATATTGCTTGCTGTCCTGCTTTTATTTCAGACAAAAGAGAATATGATCTTAGAATTCCCTGTGTACTGAAACTCCATTTTTTCAGCCTGCTCTACTCATAGAAAGTGTCAAGTTGCTGCAGTGTGAATGAACATCAAAGACAAATTCTCATCTGATGATGCCTTAAATCTGAGATAAGACGCTTGAGAGGAAAACTGCTATGCTGAAGTAGACTTTACAGTCTTGGAATGTTTGACATAATGAACTAAAATTAAAAGTGGAAGACTTCAGTCTTTACAGGCCTAAAATATTTTGTCACAGGCATACATTTGTCAAAATTTTATGAAGCTTTATTTTGATTGATTCATTGGGGTTTTTTACTGCAGGCATTAAAGAATTTTTGACCAATTTTCCCTGTGTGTGAAAACTCTTCCAAAGTATCAAGTTTGAAAATGGATTTGAGAAAATTGCTTTTGTAAATGCTTAGTGCCATCACTATGGTGGTATTGGTAGTCTTCAGCAGAACAGTTTTAGTGTTATTGCACTAGTTAACCTATATATACACTGTGTATAACAGATACTCAAAAGCAGTATCTTTAAACCCAATTTTCTTTTTTAACTAGATGTGAAATACTACTTTTACTTACGTGGGGTCAGTATTTAGATGAAACTTGGGTGTATCTACTTTTCTAGCCAAACTTGCTCATATGGTCAAACTATAAATGGAAATATAAGAACAAATACCTGCAACTAGAATTATGTTGGCTGTGGGTATATCTACTCCAGGGGCTTTGGTTTGTGTCAGTGGAAACCACCTCCCACTACCACCAAAATCATATGCTAGGAGGATTTTTTGCCAAGCGCTCTTCCAAAATGCCTTCCCTAAGCTGACAAAAGCAGTTTTGTCATCATATTTGTATTGGTGATCCAGTGTGGGTTTCTCCTCTGTGCTAGCAAAACCATGTCTGAAGCTTAGACACACAGTGTATTCTGCTAGTGGGCAAAAGATTAAATGCTGTTTTTTCATACTCAACATGTAGCATATGGAACGTAAGTTTTCTTCTGTTCTTTTCCAGTCTAGGTTTAATATCAGATTCTTTTCATATGTTTTTTGACTGTACTGCTCTATTGGCTGGATTGGCAGCTTCAGTTATTTCAAAATGGAGGTCAAACGATGCTTTCTCATATGGGTAAGAAACTTAAGTCTATTACCTTAATGTATTTTAGTAAATGTCTAGGTGGTAATTTTTCACTGTATGAACAAAACCTTTTTTTACAGAACATGGAAAAGCTATGTTGAAAGTGTGGGTTTTTAAGGTGAGTTATGTAAACCTTTATCCCCCTAGAAATAGTAAAAATGTGAAGGCATTGCTTTTAGCGTGCAAGTTTATCACTTCTAAGATCTCTGTAACCATACTAGTAGAAACAATTTACACAGCAGAAAGTTGCCCTGCATTGTCATGTGTTTATGGCACCAGTGGAGTAAGAGCAGCAGCATCATGGGTTTGTCCTCACAGCACAGTGAGGTGCGTGACAGGGAATCTCAGATTGCTGGTGCCCCATGCCTTCTTTGGAACAGAAAGTTACAACTGAAAGGAGCTAAGTCTTGGTGATGCTGCACCTGAGATTAAGCCATGCTTCTCAGAACCAGCAGGATTCAACAGCTGTGGCTACCATTAACACAGATCCTCAAGGCTGAGGTATGTCATCCCATACTGCCCTTCATGGATATAGCTGCTGCAGCTGGTTCTGTTTGGAGGGCACTTGGTTCCATTGCATGTTGCAGTTGTGCCCTATAAAACGATACTGGTGATACTATATTATTAATAGGTGATACTGATTAATTACCAGCAAATGAGCTGTAACATGGGTTGCTGCATTCCCCATAGCATTACTGAGCTGAATGTCAGCATTTAGCTTCAGCTGTCTTGCCTAAGCATGGATCATGTAGTTTGAAACTTAAAGCACTGTTTAATTAAGGTAGAAACTCCAGTGTGCCTAGAAATCAGTTTAGAAAGAATTGATTGTACCATGAACTAATTGCAATGAAAGCAGGTTCTGTGTTAATTACTGCTCTGCATTTAAACAGCTGGTGTTCCATTTATTAGAGAACAGCTGCAATTTATTAAGTCTGATGTTTGCTACATTGGAATTACATATTATTCTAACCTGGCTGTTTTTTATTGGAAAAATTTAGTAGCTGAAATAATTAATTTCTACTTAAAACTTTTACCAAAAATCCCCCTACTAGAGGGGGAGCAAATTAATGTATGGCTGTTCGATATTAAACAGAACTTCACATCAGCAGACTTCAATTACATCTCACATACTTATCTTACTTTGTGGCTTTCAAATACATGTTTATACCATAACTTCCAGTAGAGATGATCTTAAATGGGAAGAATTTTGACTTATTGAAAGTTTTCTTTCATCTAGATCAGATAATGGCTGATCTGGATAAGGTAATTTCTGTCAAAATACAACATAGTGAATTTCATATACTTATCTGTAGTTTAGATACTGCATCTTCCATCTAGCAAATCCCTGTGTAATACAAGTGTTTAAGAACTAGAAGATTGTCCAAGTTCCACTTTTAATTTTCAGCATTTAAATGGAGGTGGTAATATCTGCTGTTGCTTTTTTGTTTCTTGCAGGTATGTTCGAGCAGAAGTACTTGCTGGTTTTGTAAATGGTTTATTCCTCATCTTTACAGCATTCTTCATTTTTTCTGAAGGTGTTGAGGTATGTTATGAACTCAATTGCACTATCAATTGTCACATTTCTATTTGTAGAGCATATTTAATGGGGGTAAAATTATTGAAATTTATTATGTTCATAATTGGTTAAAAATCTGTGATTTGAACAGAGAATAGGGCCATCTGAAATTGCTGGTTTGTGACACAGAAACCCAGCTTTTTCAGTCTATCTGTACTAGCTTCTTAAATAGTGTATTTTGATTGTGTGTAAAGATTCTGTGAGATTCAGCCAGTTAAGTATGTCATAGAAAGATCTTTACTTTTCATTGTTAAAGGACAAATGAGGCCAAGAAAGAAAGGCCAAAACTAGTCATTCAGAGGAGAGAAGTTAGTCATAAGAAATGGAAATACATTCTGTGAAGAAGTTGGACTAACTCATTAAAGAAAGAACATTATCTTCCAAATCTTGACATCTGATGTAAATGGCAAGTAGTAATAGCTTTAACATTTACAAGGGCGCTTTTCTTGAATTTTTTTTACAAGATGGCTCAGGTGATATTTTCAAGATGAAAATTTAGACATCAGGGGTGTCTGCACTGAAGTGAGGTAGGATTAAGAGTAAAATTGATAACTGATTCTGATCAGCTTGCATTAATGCTTTTACTTTTTAATGGGAGATACACTATAAATTCGTTTAGACTTCTAGTTCAGAATACATTCTAGTGGGTTTTTTAATAGAGATCTGGGAAGAGCTTTCAGGAACGTATCTTCTACATAGATAAGCTTGTAAATACTTCAAAATCAGTACAAACTGGGCTGAAATTGGCTAAAAGCTTGGGAAAACTTCACTTCAAATCTAGAAACAGCAACAAAACTTAATGGAAAAATTAAAAACTACTGCTGGAAGGGTCAAGGGTAATGTTGAAACATCATTCTTTTCCTCCTGGTCTTCGCTCCCATGCTAAGTATTCCCTTTGCTTGTGATGGTGACTCCTTTTCTCTCTGTCACTTCAAAATTTTACATCTGCTGAAAGTTTCGTTGTCTTGCTATTGCCTGTACCTTTCATCCCTGTGGACAGATGGTGAATGTTTCTCTCCCCTCTCAATAGTAATTTACACTCTTCAACACTTAGCTTCAGATGCAAATTGTGTTAGGCCTATAATGTGTCATTGAAAAAAAACTTCCAAAGTAAGTAGGGTAAAAAAGAATTTAAAAAAAATCAATCTAGATTTTAGAAGTTTTGAAAAATGCCACAATTTGTTCTCAGTCTTCATTTCATTCCCTCATCCCCTCACCCTTCTAAGGAGAAAGGAAGAAATGGCATTCTAGGCTCCTGGAAGTTGTTCGGATGACTCGGGCAATCCATGTATTACAAAAAACTTGAATGTTTTCATATGAGCCACATCCCACAGCATAATAAAATCTTATGATAAAAGTTAGTTAGACTATCAGAATATTCTAGTATACATTCACAGCTTTAATAAAAAACCTTCAATTTCAGACGGTAAGAATTAGTCTGTGTGTACCATCCCAAAACCTGAAAGTCCTGAGTAATTTCTAATTATGTCTTTATATATGCCTGTTTGTGTGAGAATGCTCCTGTATCTAAGCAGTTTTTTCAGTGCCTTTTAATAATGTAAAGAGATTGTAAAACTCTACATTTGCTTCTTGGTTTGTTGTTTTTTGTTTTGTTTTTTTTTAGCGAGCACTTGAGCCTCCTGACGTGCATCACGAGAGACTTCTTCCTGTTTCTATACTAGGATTCATTGTAAATCTTATAGGAATATTTGTTTTTCAACATGGAGGTCATGGGCATTCACATGGCTCTGGTAGGATGTCTATAATTTTCAGTACTGTTTTCTTTCTTGGCACCCTGTGTTCCAGGACTTTATAACCCTCCAATGAGAACCTCAGGATTAAATTTTAATGTCTTTTTAGGGGCAATCCTAGCCAAATGTGTGTGTGACTTGTTGCAACGTTGACTTTTCTGTTTTATCACTAGCCCTAGTATGTCACTACCGTACTTCTCATGTTAATATCCATTAACCTAGAAGGCCCGAATCTGCTTTCTGGAACGTGCACTCTTCTGCATCTTGTTGGAAGAGATTTGCAGAGTGTCTTTTGGACAAAATTAAGTTGGAGTTAAACGAGGTCTTGGCTGGAAAATTTACAAACAGGTGCCTGAACCAAATTTTAAGTATGGGATGAGTCAGCTTCAGGTGCTTCTCAACTTAGTGTCTTTTGAATTTAAATGCAGAATTTATTTGACTAAATATATATGGTAAACACTTCGGTGTTTTTTTTTTTTTTCCTGCAAAGCTAATTGGTATCTCTTTCAGCTTAACAAACTGATATAGACTGGTGGAAGAAAATAGTCTTTGGTCTTTAAGCAGCAATTTAAGCTTGATTTTTTAATGTGTGAACGATAGCCAATTTCTGGTTTCTTAAAACAGCTATTTTTAATGTGCTTTTATCTAATCATGTGTACGCTTTTCAAATTGTACTAAAAGTGTAGCACAACTTTTCTCAGAAGTGGGAATGTATAAAAGCACTTGACTTCTCAAATCACGTACATATTTTATACAGCAGCACAGGATAGATTTAGATGACAAACAGCTTGTGTTAATTTTCTTAACTTATTTAAAGCCATACCTTAAGATGACCTGAAAGATGAATAGGTTTCAAGTAGCTTAGAAACAAATGTAAGCATACTTTTATTCAACACTTAAATTTCTACTCTGATGGTGATACTGGTTTATAGGACATGAACACAGCCATTCTCTATTTAATGGTGGTCTCAGCCACGGACACAGTCACGGAGGTCATGGTCACAGCCATGAACATAAACATGCCCATGGACACACTCATGATCATGGCCATAGCCACGGACACTCTCACGGTCAGGATTATTGTCATGGTGAGTACTTAGTTAATGTCATAGACCATCTTGTCTCAATTTAAATTTGCTATTAATGATTTACTGAAAAAAAAGAGAGGGTGCTGGCAGCTTGTTGCGAGCATACGTGGAACTAGTTTCACTAAATGTGTGGTATGCTATGCCACCGACATGTTTTGTGGCTCATTTTGGTAAATGCTGTTTCACTTGCAGTAAGTTCAGTGTTAGTTTTTGAAGGTTTTACTTTACCTACATTTTTTGAATGTTCACCATAATGTTATGTATTGGCAAAAGATAAAACAGATGCATGCTATAGCAATATAATGAAATTAGTTATCAAATGCTCTGTTTCAATTTTTCATTAAAATCAATAGACAAAGTTAAGCTGCTTTGCTAGTGTTCTCCATTTGAATAATTTTACAGATCAAGATATTAGGAAAGATGAACAAGCAATTTTACGTTGGGTGCTTAGGGATTGATATGTCGTACTTGGTTTATGATCTTAAATATAAGATTTTTCCCTGTCTTGTGTAATTGTAATCTGTTTTAAAGCTGGTTATGAAAAAGGTACTTGGTATCTTAGCTATGCTTAAATCTTTTCTGTAAGGGCAAACAATCTGTGAAGAGACATCCATGCAAAATATGATCAGTAGCCTTCACTATGGGAGAAGAGATAGTGTGGTTACTACCTGTTTGAAACAATGCAAATGAAAGCCTGATTGTAATGCAGGCTTGTCAATCCTTCCTGCCTAACCCATAAACTAGAATCTGATGTGACTGAAAATGTGCACATTCAGAGTGGGGAATAGTGTGGGAACTTGCAGACAGGAGGTGACAAAGAGCATAAAAATATTTACTTGTCCCTTCCTTGCTATTTTTAGTAGAAAATTGGTGCTTATTTTCCAAGTGTTCTCCTGGAGTTTGGTTGGAAAGCAGAAGCTCCCCGCTCCTGCCTCTTCCTTGCTCTCTCCATGCCCCCCACCCCAGTGGAACCGTGAATGTAGCTGTCTGTTTTGTGCAATTTGATATTCAAGTAAACTTTTGCATAAATTACTATATATCTTCACTAGAAGTCATTTGCTATCCTTTAGCAAGTTTTGCTTAAAACATATTTCTGACGTGTTCCACAGAGGCATTAATCTGCCTGGATGAGAGGATTTTTTGACTTAGTTCCACCTTCTCCAAGACTTATCCTTGTTGTTTTACATTAGGTATAAATGCTTGCTTAAGTGAAAGATTTCTGGTTAGCAAATTTATTTGACCTTACTCTTCTTGCTTGTGTGTATGGCTTATATTCTTGAAGGGGCCTTATTTTGCTAAATACTAGACAGGTCTTTTTTCTCAGTTTGTTTTCATTAAAAAACAAACAAACCAACAAAATCTATTGTGTACAGTGGTATTTTCTTTAAAAACCAAAAAGTGTGTTAAGACTTATAACTTAATTGCTGCGTTAAAAAACAATAGCTAGAGTAAAAGCTAGTCATTATGAGCAGCTTGTCTGTTCAAGAGATTTCAGAAAGGAAGACCATAACAGAATATACCACTAGAGAGAGCCTTTGTGTAGATTAATATGCTAATAATTGTCTTCACAGATGACCATTCTCTTGAAGGGATGGCTGGATCCAGCAAACAGATTTTACAAGGTATGATGAGAATAAGTACAGTGGTTAATTAGTTTTATCATGGTCTGCCTGCCTGTGACTGTTTGTCACACATCTGTTTTAGAGGGTGCCTCTGGGTAAATGCTACATTTTTCTTAGAGGAGCTATTTTATGAAGTCCACTTCCACATGTGAACAAAGCAGTGCCATACCCTGTGCATGGCTAGGCATTGAGACATTCACTGAAGTCTAAATGTAATGCAGTGTCAACACAGTTTAAAAGGGAGATCCCAAAAGCTGGGATTCAGCTTCTGTTACTGATGCTGAAAAATCAAATAATAAAAATCTAGGGAAGAGTGGTTAAAAGCAGAAACCTAAGGAGCCTAATTGTAATGTATGCTCTGGAAAGTGAAAAACAGTATTCTTAAGATAGAATGTATTTGTAGAATGCAGATTGATGTAATTATTAAAGGGTACCTGAGCTTAAAACTTGCATTTCATCAAGCTGTTACAGTTGGTTTAGACAAGATGGTAATTCACTCTAAGTTGCTTGAAGGAGTATTGGAGTCCATGATCTCCTGAGCATTAGTGTAAATAAGTTACTGATAATTTAGATGTCAGTTTTGAGCTTTGATTAAAAGTTAGAGGGAGAAGATTATGTAATGTAAGAGGTAGTGATCATTTGGCATACCCAAATGTACATACTGTTTTCTCTTATTGCATGATTTTCTGGCTTGTTTGTAGTCCTTGAAAAGGAACATTTTCAACCTCTTCCAGAATTTATAGTATGCTGTATTACGTACGTGTATACTCAGTGCTTCAGTAGAAGGTATTTGAAAGTCAGTCTTTTAATGAAAGGCACGTTTTAGTTGAAGCATATTAAAAAGACTTAATTTTACATAATTTTATTATAGTTTTTTCAATACTGTGGTGGGTTGGCTCTGGCCAGCAACTAAGCACCTAGCAGCTGCTTGCTCACTCCTGCAGTGGCACAAGGAAGAGAATTAGAAGAGTAAAAACGAGAACTACTCTTGGATTGAGATAAAGACAGTTTAGTAAGTGAAGGGAAAAAAAAAACCAAAGAAAAAAAAAGCCAACCCCAAGTGATGCAAAGACAATCAATCGCTCACCACCTCCCACCAGCAGATCAATGCCCAGGAAGTCTCTGAGCAACAGCTATTTTGGAAAGACAACACCCCAGTTTTATTGTTGAGTGTGAATTTATATGGTATGGAATATCCCCCTGGGCCGTTTGGGTCAGCTGTCCTGGCTGTGTCCCCTGCCAGCATTTTGCCCACCCCCACCTACTTGCTGTGGGGGCAGAGTGAGAAATGGAAGGCCTTGCTGCCGTGCAAGCGCTGTTTGGCAATAGCTAAAACATTGGTGTGTTGTCAACACCGTTATAGTTACAAATCTAAAACACAGCATCATGCAGGCTGCTATGGAGAAAAGTGAACTCCATCCCAGCCAGACCCAGTACCAATGTAGACTTAGAAAAATCACTAAAGAGCTGATTTATAGTTGTGTGTTGTTTTTGTGAGGAGGGATTAACTGAATCTGGAGAACTGTATTCAAAAAGCTGTTTCTGAATGAATGTTCCCGTCGTTGCCAGCAGAGAGCTCCAAAGGCTAAATTTTAGCTAGCTGCAAAGTGCTTGTTTCTTTGTCTTTTAAGGTAGTGTGTTATTCTTCAAAATAAGAGTGAAGTTGTTCATGTCTGCAGTATTGTTTAAGTCTCAAAATCATTTGTCTTGGATTTCTTTGCCAAATAACTTCTACAAGATCTTGTCAGTGAAACATTAGCATCTTTCAAAGCTTTACAGAGCTGTTTCTGTTAACAGTCTTTCCATCTTATACAGTACTTATTGTCTGTAGGCATCAGGGAACATGAGTTTCTTTAGTGTAATATGGGTGGGTATTGAATGAAAAAAAATTTAGCTACATCTGTTAATCACTGCTTAAGTTGATAGCCATGCCATGAAATACCCCTTACTGCTAAGTGCAGAAAATAATGTAAATTCTTCAAATGCTCTATATTCTACAAATATGTTGAAATCCTGTGATCACTTTGTGTTTCACCAAAAATTGACCACAAATTTAAGAAGCAGAAATCATGTCATCTAATTCTTGCAACTCTTCTCCGTAAACTGTCTTTTAAATACTCCATTAGCTTTAAGAATACCAAATTGTAATGTTATCAATTAATCTCTTACAGGTGTATTTCTACACATTGTTGCAGACACGCTTGGAAGTATTGGTGTAATCGTATCTGCTATATTGATGCAGAACTATGGTCTAATGATAGCAGATCCTATTTGTTCAATGTTGATAGCACTACTTATAGGTGTAAGGTAAGCGTTGCTATCACTGATATTTGGTAGTATTTTTGATGCTAGTTACAGCACAAATTACAACTCAGAAGAAAAGGTTTGTCTGTTATGCTAATGACTTACGATGTTTACTTTTCTTCCAAGAGTCATATGTTACCTCTGTTCTGTACAGCTGTTCTGGTGTGCTCTTACATCTTTCTTTTCCTTTTCCGCAGCTACAGCTTTTTCTCTTAAATCTGCATATTTTACCCCTGTTTGCATAATACTACAAGAATGTCTTTCAGGTTCAAACTGTAGAAAGCTTCCTCTCTGTATTTAGTACACGCTTATATAAACCAATGTACTCCAGTAAATGGAGCAGAATGGCTTCAGGGCAGCAGAGTTGAGCCTGCTGGCACAGGATGTGCCCTTGTCCTTGACAAATCAAGGCTGGTAACTTTTTTTTTTCCCTCCCCTGGCGAGAACTGTTTTTTCCTTTGTATTTGTATTCTGAGACGTCCTTATACCTTTTAAGATCTGATGGAAATGCTTCAGGTAGTTCTGGGATTTCCTGGTTGTTGCTTGCCAAGATCACTGTAAAAGTGAAGCTATTTGGATTAGACTGGACAAGCAAACATTTCATTCAGTGATGCTGTTATTGAGCTTTTCTGGCAGCAGTTTCAATGCTGGCATAGGGCAGAGTGCCACAACTCCAGTTACAGCCTAATAACTGAACACCTTTGTCTCTTCAGCAGTGGTGAATGTCATCTGATTAACTGCAGCTACTTATGCTTATACCATATATGGCATGTTTATACCATATGCATGGCAGCATTCACAGAATTATTGATGTGAATCTCCCTATTTATCAGAGTAGGGCAACATGCTTCAGGCACTAAATGCCCACAGAAACCTGTGTGCTATTAAATTACCACTTTAATATAAACATAATATTTTTACTTAAACCTCCTGTAATTTCTAGTGTCTATTTTTTTTTAAATTGTCTGTTTGCTGATGGGATGTGTGTGGGTTTGAGGTGGGGAGGAGGGGGATGTTCAGTATCTAGTACAGGGATTCCTCCTGGCTGCTTCTGTGGGCCTGATAAATAACTTCTGGGGGGGATTTGGCTTTAGATTAAATAATTGTCTGCTGTTCCAGAGGAATATCTGTCAATTTTACTTGTGCAGAGTAGCCCACTCTTGTCTCTTTTACTAGTTAAACAAACTTTGACAAGGTGGAGTGGGATAAAAGTACATGTGTGCCCCAACAAGTGGACCCATGCAAGTGTGTTTAAAAATCAGGATCTGTTCTTTGTGGCTGTAATAAATAAAGCAAGCATAGTTTTGAGTCAGAGATGCAAAAGCCAGTGTGATGAAGTTGTCCAAAAGTTTTAACGCTCTCTGGGGACTTTCCCCTAGTTGGGACTGTAAAGCTTTGCTGCTTTAAAATAGGGTTGTGTAAAAGCCCCAAGATGCTGTCTCATCTCACAAGTGTACTGTAGCTGATTGGTTTAAATCTAAATAGTAGTACATTTTATTGCTGATCTTCCAAAGCTCTTTTGCATGACTCCACATTTTAAGTATATTAAATTGTCCATTTCCATTTTAATTAGCTGCTTAGTCTTCTGGTTCTACATTAAATGTATTAGTTATTAATGGATGAACTAGTGCAGGCAATACTCTCCTTATTGCTGTTAATGTTAACCAACAGCTCCTAGTGAAAGCAAAACCTTGAGCATGGATGATCTTCTATGTCTTTGAGCACTCTGAAGTTTTAAAACAAAGCAGTTGAAATGTCAAAATCTGTATGAAAATGCTTTTGCTCTTGGCTGGCAGCTTGTTATTTGGGAGGGAGACTTCTTTCCTAGGAGAATGTCTTTTTATGTGTGTATATCTTTGAGGTCTTACTGTGCTGTCCTTCTGTCACTTGTTCTCAAATGCCAAATTACTGTATTGGATTAAGACTTGCCTATAGTACAGGTGATTTTCTGTCATCAGGAAGGTATCTTAGGAAACAGTGGTGAATATTGCAGATGGCTACATGAGTGTAAATCTAAAGTCATGGTGGGAGAGTGGTCCAGACTTGAATCTTTTCTGTTAATTTTTAGATAATGAGGATACACTATTCTGGATGTTACAGTCTAGAAACTGCACTGGTTGTATATGAAAATAAAGTATAGATTCAGCAAATTATTTTCATAAAGCTGGAAATTCCCAATAAAATAAAAACTGCTAAATGAATTTTTACTCATCTTGGTTGGTGGCTTTCTCCTCTAAGCGAAGGATCCTCAGACCAGTCTAGATTACAGTATCACTTTGGATGTGTGTTTAGTCTAAGTAGTTAGTAGGCTTTCCAGCTGGAACGAGCTTGCATAGAGATGAATTAGGACAGAACTGTAAATTCGAGGCAGGAGTCTTCTATAGGATAAACAGCATTCTTGTAAACAGTATAATAAGGTACCTTGAAAGAAGTCTTTGGATTCCTAACTTTAAAAGGTAGTTTTCTTAATCAGCTGAACAATCTGGGACACTATCACTATTGGGATTTGGGAAAGATTATATTCTTGCAGTATGATGGGTATTATTGAAAGTACATATTCAGAAACACATTTGAATTATTTTCAACAAAACCAGGTTTATTTTCTGATGCTGAGCTGTAGGTATATCTATTTAAAAGAGGAATTCTTGTGGTAATAGGTGCAGGAGGAGCAAAGATAATGGTGTGACAGTAGTTAGGTATGTGAATGTGAGACTAGTGAGAATCCATTCTGTCTTTTTAACAAATTACATTGGCATGGTTTTTGGCCTGCTGAGACATTGTCATAGGAAGATCTAAGTAATGCATTAATGTGGCACCATTGTATAACCAACTTGCAGCTTTTATATCCTGTAAAGATACTATGATGCAAATAGTACAAAGTAATCTAGAAAAGTAATTAGATTAAAATGGAAGAATAACAGGTGTTGAATTTGGTATCCGTTACTGGATGTGGGATAGTATTTATGAAATCACATGGTATTTTGCTCTTACTTTCTTGAAATAAGCAAATGAGTATAGGGAACTACCAAAATTATTACCAAGAACTTTAAAGTTCTCAACGGTAGCTGCTTCATTTTTTGAGTATGTATTGAAATTTTCTTGAAATTGAAAATCATTATCTCACTGAATTTTGTCTCAAATTTTACAAAAATAAATACTATGCAATTCAATTTCATAATTTTCCTGAAACTGATGATTAAACATAGTTTGATTTAAAAATATATACCAGTAAATCTGCATTAGTATGTTACACTTTGCTTGTCCAAGCAAATATTTAATCAAAATGTGGATATTGTAGTACACTTAGATTTTTAGTGTACTTTAAGGTCATTAAGTAGCTTTTGCAATTTATTTATGCCATTGCAGTAAGCTGTATTTTTTTTGAAAGTCTGATATACTGTGTTCATACGGGTCATTAGATTTTAGATACAAAATGCATATGTTTTAGGAATGTGTATAGAACATTTTGTGTAGTCCAAGTGTATCGGGCAAAGGTGTAAGCTTTGTAGAGTAGAGTTTGTTTTAATTTCCTTAAACTGTACAAGTAAGGTTTTTGATTCATCATGTACAGTTAATGTTTGAGATAAAAAGCTGAATGAGGTGATGGTGATAAGATGCCTATAGAGGTTCATGAGACTCTTTGAGGAGCATTTTAATAGCTTGCTTTTTAGCAAGGGAATTTTCAAGAAAGTGTTACATGAAAACTGAAAGACAAACTAAAATTAAGAAATTACTGTGTAATCAGTGAATTTAGTGTTTCATACTTGGCACATTTTTGGTGAGGGTTTAATGAAATTTAATTTTTGCTTTTTTTTGCTGAATAAAATGTGCATATACCACTTAACCTGGCAGTAATTTGGCTTCAGTCATGTATCCTCCAAGTTACTGCTTAATGGTCAGAGTTTGACTTAGAGCGTGCAGGGCATGGACAGGGCGTAGGTTTGATCCAGGGTTCCTTCTTTTTTTTTTTTTAGTCTGTATTCTTTCTGGGATACTTATGTATCCAAAGAGGGAATAAAGGCAGAACACAAATCCTTATTCTCTTCCGTGGAACTACGTCTAATGAGCGAATAGAATATCAAAGCAGTTGCATGCAAGTGCAGAGGGGAATCATTGCTCTTAATCCAAGATTGCTTGTGTCTAGATGAAATAACTTTGTTCATTTTATGTTGAGTGTTTGCTTGCTTTAGTGTTGGGCAGCTCTCTCTGATTTACTCAAGTCTGCTCCTATTAGTGGGTCTTCTCTGTTCAATTTTCTGAAATGATGGCAACATTTGCCAAAAGAAATCACAAAAATATCTGTATAGGATGACTAAAGAACTTATCGTTGCAATATAAAGCTGTACAGCCTCTAATTTGTAACCTATTTTGTCTTGTGCAGATGCACGAAGGGTTGAGCAACGCCTCTTCAGAGAAGTCAAGCAGTGCTTTTAATTGAAATGGTTGAGCCTTCCTGTAGACAACATCTGTAACTAGTGCAAACTGTCAACTACTGACACGATTGCTCTGTGTTGCTCCTGTGATCCTTCACTAAGGCTGCTGGAAAGTGACATATTCTCTGCCTAACTCCTCGTGAGTTAGCGCAGAACATTCTGGCTGCACAGTGAAAATCCGGTGTGGGATTCTTCTGAGGTTGTTTTTACTGACAAATAAATACACTTCTAAGCTTAGTGGAAGCAGAAATCGGGTAGCTCTTACTAGAGTATGGAACAGGTAAGATCAGTCACTTCCCTTTAGTGGACTATGACTGTCTACATCCCAGTAAAAGCCTGTCTTCAGTAGGATTATATCGAAATATTGTTAATACCTATTACATCTCATGCTTTAAAATTTATGTTTTTGGAGGAAGAAAAATAGCCCACATATTACTATTCTGATATAGAGAGGCAAAGGCATGAAGTCAGCTACTTTCCACTTTGCAAATGTCATTATGCTTTTACTTGCTGTAGAAAGTTGTGTTTTCTCCATTTATGTTGAGGCAACAACCATCTGTTGAGTCTTGA